GAGATGGTTCCACTTTATAGAATAGAAAGGATGTCGTCATGCTCTGAGAGGAGGCCTGAAGTCTCTTTCAGCTTGACTCAAAGTCAGGGTTACTCCTCCTGACCTCTCCCCGAGTCATGGGCTCTAGGGTTTAAGGTTTTGAGTCTCTGAGGATCTTCTGATCCGATATTTCACACTTAGGTGCTCATATAGAGCAAACCTTTCCTGTCCATGCCCCCTGAATTTTATCATCACTACTTCCATATGTCTACCCTGTCATCTTTAGCAAGAGCTAGTCTGTAGGTGATTAAGAACACGAACTCTGAATCTTGTTTGTACCACCTATTGGCTTTGTGACCATCAGTGGGTTCCTTAACCTCTCTGTGCCTCAGTTTTGTCATCTGTTAAGGTCGCGAATCACAGTGACCATAACTCGCTCCACCCTCTGTAGGTCTCTTTGTACACTGTCGTTTTCTCTGTGTCAAGCACAGTGTTTTAAGCTGAATGTATTTTACACTTAATTTTTCCTTTTCTAAGAATACATTTCATTCCTGCTGACAAAGATAAAAGGAATGTGCACTTTTGATTTTGATTTTCCAAAATGGGTCAAAGATACCATGCTTGAGACAGAAAGGGAAGCCTGCCTAAGAAATTATCATTTAGACAAACCCATGCTTCTGACTGAAGACTGAGGTTCTGTTGCCTGAGCTGTGACACACCGCAGTGCCGTCAGGCTGGGTGCTCGCTCCCTGACTCTGCTGACAGGACTGTCCTGGTTCTGTCACAGCTGGTCATTCCTGCCCTTCAGGATTAAAGCATCTCTGCAGAAATCAATTACTGATTCTTATGCTCTTATATTGCATATGTTTTTTTAATGAAATGTAATTGTGATAAGTATACAGAACATAAAGTTTACCATCTTATCATTTTGAAGTATTTTTTGGTTGTTTCTTTGGTGTGTGTGGAACATTTATCAGAAACTGAAAAACATGTTGACTTATCTTTATGGAAACAGTGTTAAAGATGCAGGCATCTTAAAGGGTTATGAGAGCAAATTTGAACTCCTCAGCACTTCTACAGTCCATTCAGTGCTCCCACATACAGCATTGTAGACACGGTCTGAGGGTCTGCATATGTGTGTGGAAGAGGCATTTTGCTTTCCAGGAAAGTTCCATACATTTTTCCCCCAGCATTTGACTTTTGATTCTCAAGCATTTCAAATCAGCCACAAAGGCAAACTTGCAGGAAAAGCCATGTTGGAAAAATCAGTAAAAGTCAGATGTATCTGGTCAGATAAATCATAACCAGGTATACCTCGTACTTTTTCCAGCAAAGAGAAAAGTATGTGGAAATAAATACCAGCTCAAGTAGGATTTGATAAGTAACTAGAACAGGTCCTAAGGTACGCAATGTGCTCCCTAAGTATTTACTGAATGACTAAATCAGCAAAACAACTTTTGCTAAGTTCAGAACAAACACAGATAATACAGTTATTCTATAAAGAATCTATTTTATAAGTTTAGTGATTAACTTACAATCAAATTTGGTCTAAAGAGTAGCCCTCATAGAGGCATGAAAACACTGACTGTAACTAAAAGAGTCATTTTAAAGCCACATTAATTGAGAAATACCACCAATAGTAAAAACAAATTGAAATAAAGGTTAGTACTTTCATTGTTCTTGAAAATGAAGTGTAATATTTAAATTAGCAACATAAGGAACACATTGTAAAATGAATATCTCTGCTCAAAGAACCGGGTGAAATCTTACACTTCAAGAATACAATTTGTTCACAAAGCTTTACTATGAGGACTTACAATTAGTGATCCCTCATATAGCATCCTATTTACCAATAAAATAAATTATGATCATATAATGCCCAAATATTCCATATTTCAAATTTTTGCTAATGCAGACTAGGCTTTCAATATATTAGTTGGAATTAATGACCTCTGCTTATAGAGTCCAGCATGTCTTTTATTTGGAAAAAGAAAAGTTGAAATTGTATGATGTGAGGAAGTGAAGAAGTTCATGCTTAGGCTGAACACAGTGCGGTTCATTTTTTGAATCAGACCATTTAGCAGTGGAAATGTTTGAGTGCCTTTTTCTTTAAAGACCTCACTCTGGGGAAGCCCAATTTGTAGGTAAACAACCCATACCCAGCAGCATTGCGTAGCTAATGTGGAGTGTGGGGGGCAGGCTAGAAGCAGCCCAAGGTAATGAGGTTAGCCAACGTGATCTAATCAACCCAGCCTGAGCACAAAGCAGGCAAATAGCATAGAATCGGGGAGTATTCAGTTTATTTCTGAATTATTTTTGGTTTTTGTATTTTAGAGTGTCACCAAGTAGAGAGTAGATGTGTATATTCCACTGCGTCAAAGTCTCTTTCAATTTCCAGAATTGTAATTCCCCTGCCAAATTACTGTTGAGCCATAGGCAAGATGTCTTTTAATTCAACATCAGCCCAGGGAATGACTAAGACCCTTTTCCTGTTGGCTACGAAGCTCGCCCCCATCCTTCCCCCTTCCCAAACCTCTTGTGGAAATGAACCTGAGGCAGAGCTCACAGGCATCCAGGCACTGCACAGGCCGGCCTGCCTGCCTGCCATGGGACTCAGTCCCCAAGCTCCCAGATGGGCTAGGCGTTCTTGTTGTTACTCACTTTATAATTTTTAAAGATTGATTCCATTTTTTTACCAGAGACATGGAAATGAAGAACAAACTGACAGTGACTAGAGGGGAGGGGGAAGGTGGACAACAAAGGAAAGAAGGGGAGGGGTCAAGTCAAGGACAAAGTATAAAGGACCCATGGATGCGGACAGTGGAGGGGAAGGATTGAATGTGGGAAAGAGAGCGGGAGGGCAGGGGAGAGGAATGGGGGGAATGGGGACAACTTTAATTGAGCAGCAATAAAAAATTTAAAAAATAAAGATTGATTCCAAGGTAAAAACCTTTTCAGAAATTCCTAGCATGAAGAAGATTGTTGAGAAAGTCTGTCAAACTCGATTAATTAGGGAAAACCCCTACATTTTAATGAAAATTGGGGTAAGACTGCTCTGGAACTACATTTTACTTCTTGTGATATTCAAGATGGGGTTGGAAAAATCTTTTTTTTTAAGTAGAAATAGATGTATTGTTTCATTGTAATATGAGGACTGCCTGGAAAAAGTCCGCCCATTGTTATAACAAAAACATTTTGCACAACATCGATGTAACGTGGCAGCCAAGGAGAGTGGACTGGAATGCACATGTGTGAACAGTGATGACTTCACTGTACTAGTCCGTGGGGGACGTAGATGCTGTGGAGTGAGCATGTGTACTATGTGGTCATCATATTAAAAATTACTGAGTGAGTAGAGCAACGAATCTGCATCCAATTTTGTGTTAAGCTTGAACATGCTTCTGCAGAAACTGTTTGAATGATTCCGAAGGCTGCAGCTACGGGCAACTGGGGATTGGCAGCTTCATTATGACAATGCAACCACTTACGTGTCACATCTCATGCAGATTTTGGTGAAACATCAAATTATCCAGGTGGTTCGGGCTCACTTCATCCAAGATTTGGCACCATGAGACTTCTGCCTTTCCCAAAACTAAAATCACCTTCGAAAGGGAAGACATTTTAGACCATTGATGAGATTCAGAAAAATATCCCTGGGCAGCTGATGGTGATTGGGAGAAGTGTATGAAGACGTCCCTTCATACACTTCATAGGCAGCAAAGAAGGTGCCTACTTTGAAAGAGACTGAGGCATCATTGTCCTTTGTACAATGTTTCTTGTATCTTCTTCAATAAATGTCTGTTTTTCGTCTTCCATGGCCAGATACCTTCTAGATAGAACATACATATTTTCTCTGTAAAAGCCTTCAGACAATAGAGAAATCTATAGAGAAGAAGTGTTATTTTACATCTCAGACATAACAACTGTTAGTGTTTTGCTATAAAGCTTTCTAGATTTTTCCATGGCTTTACAAACATTCAGATAATTATAGGGTATGTAATAAAACAGGATCAGACTATACACACTATTTAGTAATATGCGTTTTTACATAATTTCTATATTAACATATTTTCGCATAATTTTTCATTGCTTCTTTGTATTCTATTGCATAAATGGATAAGCTGTGCTTTTCCCCTCAGTGTTTCATGAATAGGAAGGATGTTCTTATACATATGTCTTTACATACCTGTATTTTAGGACTATAAGATGCAATTGAACATAAGATGCACCTTAGGTTTTAGAGGAGGAAAAAAAGGGAAAAAATTGAAGCAAAAAATGTGGTAAAATACTTAATAATATAAATAACATACCCCCCCCCCCGTGAGCCAGGTAAGCTACATTCGGACTATAAGACACACACCCCCTTCCCTTCCAAATTTGCGGGGGGAGCGTGTCTTATATTCAGAAAAATATGGTACTTGTCTACTTGTTTCTTTGCTATCAGTACTTAAAAATGGAATTGTGTAAAAGAGTATGGATTTCTATAAATTTTTGTAACAATTATAAAATTGCTCTCCAAGAAAACTACGTCGATTTACCTGCTTACCAATATTGCAGTGAGTGTCCATGCCCCCACATCCTTGGAAGTCATACAGATTTAAATAGAAGTAGCCCTGGCTGGGTGGCTCAGCTAGCTGGCTGGAGTGCTGACCCATACACCAAAGAGCTGTGGGTTCGATCCCCGGTCTGGGCGTGTATTGGGTGGGACAACAGGTCGACATTTCTGTTTCTCACACCGGTGTTTCTCTCTTGCTCTCTCCTCTCCCACGTCGATAAACACATCCTCGGGTGAGGCTTAATTAAAAAGAAGTGGTGCTTTAGAGGGGTCGTACTCCTAGCCGGTGGATTTAGGGTGGGGGAAAGCTTTAAGCGGATGATACACTCATGTTCCTGGTTTCCGGTGCAGGTCACCATCACACACAGCCAGTGCGTTCATTGGTCTGCAAGATGGTAGAACTCAAGTTTTCCTTACATAGCCTAGTCTCGTTATCTTAAACCTTCTTCTTGTTCTTCTCCTTTAGATTGAGGAAGACACATGGCAGAAATACTACTTGGAAGGAGTCTCGAATGAAATGTACACAGAATATCTTTCCAGTGCCTTCGTGGGTCTGTCCTTCCCTACTGTTTGTGAGTAAGTGACCACCGACCATACGGTCCCTGGCTGCCAGGGGTATTTAATGTGCCCCTCACAGAGGAGATCCCTCACCTCTGCCCAGCACAGTTGGGACACGTGAGGGTTACAGACTGTGCCCCGTGTGCTCAGCCTTTGTGTGATGAACTCGAGGTGGGTGCTGGCGTGGTCTCTGCCTTGGTCATTTCTGCTGGCCCTACTTTTCCTCCAGACCTGAGAATCCCAGGCGTGGATCCATCATTTGTACTAAATCAGGAACTCACTTCAGCTGCAGGTCTTCAGTTATGCTCCTGGGATGTCGATGCAGTTGTAGACGGGGCTGTGAACCCATGTCTTTCTGATTTTACTAGCAAATCTCACTAGCCCCTTGATGAAAGGAACTTTAATTTCTCTTTCAATAAGTCATAACATGGAGTTATCAGAGAAGCCACTGTTCAAAGTGTGTTTATGATTTGCTGAGGAAATGCAGAATCACATGATCCAGAAGGAGACCTGGGAAAAGTCCCTGACATGGGCAACCGTGATGTAACAATAAGGACTCAGCTTCTTCTGACACTGGCTTAGCAAGGTGGATTTGAGCAAGGGCAGCCCCAGGCGGCTGTAGACCCTCAAGGCAGAATAGGTGATCACATCAGGGGTATGACCTAAGGAGTGTCAGGTGTCCTTGACCCTCAGAAACTTCCACCAGGACAGTGCCTCAGCTTCCCCACTTAGAATCTCTGGTGTTGGTTTAAGTCAAAGAGGGGCTTTGTTTTCTATGAAAACACAAGCTCGGGCTGAAACGTTCAGCCTGACCTGTCGACACCTTAGAAAGGATCTGAGAAACTCAGTCTCTCACTGATACCAACCGGGAAGAAGTGGAGGAATCTGGGAAACCACTGGGTTGAGGAAGAAGAGCTGTTCCCTTGTGCTATCTGTCCGCCTAGAAACAGAACTGAACTTTTGGAAAGGAACGTCCAAGGAGGACGATCCTGGGGACTGTCGGGTTCCCCTCACTCACAGTTTTCTGTTCTGTGCGCGCTGTGGAGAGGGGCTGGAGCGCCTGGTAGCTTGGGGTTTACCTGGAGGTGCCTGCCAGTGAACACAGCAGGTGCACTCAGCCCGTCCCTGCGTCCAGACCACAAGTGATACAAAACAGAACGGTTTGGCTGTTTACTGAAATTTCTCACTCTGTCTCTAAGTGAAACTTTAAATGCTAAATGGATTGGAAAAGTGAATAGGTAATTGATTCGGAAGAAGTTATTTTCTGAAAACGGATGGCCAGTTGTAACTCCCATGTGTTCCTGTCTCTGAAAGCGATTTCTCCTTCTGCCAAGAGAGGAGTTAACTATCCATAGGCACTGGGTCCTGGAACACAGAGGCTGCGCCTGGGGATTTTTTCCACTTTGGAGGTTGGCCAGCCCTAGGATAGAAAGCTTGGGAGAATTCAGGTCTTACATTAAAAAACTGATTCTATAAAAAGGCGACTGTGGTCTCCTCTACCTAATGAAGAGGTGGTGAGAGCCCTGAGGGCTTCCATGCTAATGCAGGGAGTGTGTGAGGCCACCTCCCTTGGTTGTTGGTTTCCTCCGGCTTGACCAGTGTTTACATATCATGGGTGCTCTCCCGGAAGCCTGCTTTCCCACTGCTTCTCTTCTGCTCCTGGGAACCAAATCAATGCATAGGAGTGGTAACCTGTAAGGTTAGGATGGCTGTCCCTGAAAGTCGCAACTGGGCAAATTTACCACAGGGTAAATTTAACTCACAAATTTGCCCTCCACGGTATTTCATTTCTTAAAAGTTAGTTGCCAGTATTTCAAAATAGCAGTATTTCACATCAAGAATGGATTTCTGGCCTCTCCTGAAAATCTGAGGAGCCAGCACGGTACTTGCATTTCTGGTGAATGCTAACTGGCTCCAGTGTGCTGTAAGGGAGGGCTTCGTGCAGCTCTCTCCTCCCTTAAACCAGGCCAGATCAGCATGTCCGGCCCAGGCCCAGCTCTGTGGACACGTGAGCTTGCCAACTCCGACACATAGGTTAATGTGACACTCCACTGCCCTACAGAGCCAGCTCAAGAGCTGGTCACTAGTGACTGCTGTAAATATTTCCTTTGATTGATTTTCAAGTTCAGAACATGTCCCAAGCAGGACCAGATCCCTCAGACACACCTCGTTGTGAGAATTTAGTATTGGTTCAGCACAGCTTCCGGCATGCAATAAAACAAAACAACCTTCTGATGTGAATGAGAATGTGTGCAACTTAGTGCTATTATTCGTTTAACACAATGATACAGCAGAGGTAGAAATAATCAATAAAGAAAGGACATTTAATGAGATTTAGGAACATCCCAAAACATTGAAGCTCTCCTCAAGCATTTGATTATCTGGAGGCTTAATTATCTGTGTTTTCTACTTTAAATTAAAGAAAAGCCATAATTCAAAGTTACCAGCAGTTTAATGATAACACTCTTCAATTCAGGTTAATTAAAGCACAGCCGTAATTAGAGTGTAGTGTTGTATATCACTGGGCTGGCACATAAGTATTTTCATTACAGTAAGAATTGGCTATTTAATTTCAGAGTGACATAAAAGATGCCAAAATATATTTTAAGCTGCTTCATGTAGACAAGAAAGAATTGGGGGATATTCTGGGTGTAATAAAGCACAGATAAAATATACAGATTTTCAGAGCAGTTTCTATAATTATGCACTGCATTAAAACAGTGTGCAGCACCTAACATCTTAAAGCATAAAAGAAAGAAATTTGCTCTTCCCCTAGGCTGGCAGAAAGCCCCTCTGCAGGGTAGGGTCAAAATACAGGAGAGTTTGGTGTTATCTTAGAAGCTGAGAGACTCCTTCTGTGAAGATGAGGGGGAAGGATGGATTGGTGAAATTTGAGGTCTTTTTCCAGAACAGAATGAGGGAGGGCCAGAGGCAGGAGAGGCAGAAGCCGTTCCCCACCCCCAACCCAGTGCAAGTTTTTAAAAAATTTCAAGTAGTGAGATGCTCTCTCTCTTGTCCTAGTGAGGTGCCCATCAGCTATATACTTTGATTTCTTTGCATCAACTTTTTTGCTTCACTACATTTCTTGCTGGAAGGATCAGCTTTGTTCCAAAAATAGTAGCTCATTTAGATAAAATGCAATATCCTTTCTAAATATTTTGTTTACGTTTTATTATTTAATTGTAAGAATTCTGTGATGTTTAGATTAGTGTCACTGTCCCTGGTTTACCAACGGGGACACAGAGCTTGGGGCCACTTCCCCAGCTGCCCAGCAGACAAATTAGAGAACCAGCATTCCGACGCTGGGCCTTGTGCAGTTGGGAGCAGCTTGGAGTCACTGCTTGGTGAAGGCTGGCTAATTAACAATCGCCTGGGGAGCTTATTAAATGGAGAGGCTACATCTTCAGATTTTAGTATCTGGGGTTAAGGCCCCCAAATTTGCATTTTTTACAAACAAGTCAGGTGATTCTGATTCAGAGTTTGAGGACTGAGAATCCTCATGGACCACATCCCTCTATACCATAGACCGGAATAACCTGTCTCATTCTTCACTTTGGACTCAGACACTGGAATTTGTTTCTCTCTGATTTTAGCCAAATCATAGATGTGTAGGTTGGCCACATCTTGCAAACTAAGATTTGGGCCTCTGTGTGAGCTTCCTGGTCATTATCCCTTCTCCACGTGGGTATTCTGCAATGTCCAGGGACACAGGAAGTGGTTACCACACCAGGCGAATCACTGACTGCTCCCCCCACTCCCCACACCTAATCCAGAACAGTACAGGAAAAAGATGTGGGGTAAGGAACTCGTTAATACTCTTGGTTATGTTTCCACCAGGGATCATAAAAGTAGCTTCAGGCTGGGAAGAAGAGATACATACTAAATGTGGAGAAGTCCAGAGGAAACAAGGAAGTTCAGGGTACAACACTTAATGCCACCTGTTGGTCTTGTTGGAGGTCCTAGTGGGCGTGTTTTCTCCTTCCCTGGGATGCTCTCTGGAATGGGTGTTCCTTTTAAGGGCCAGCAGCTCCTGAGTACTTCTCCTTGGTTCTGCAAAGCTGGTGTGCCCCTGGGCCTGTGTGGCAGTGAGGTCAAGGAAAAGGAGCATTGGGATCTGTAGGAGAGGGTGCCATCTGTGGTTCTCCGAGCACCAGAAAACCGCCTGCTCCCTTGCCCTCCCACTCCCCACCTTCCTCAGCAGGTAACTCTGGAGGGTGCAGACAGCCAGCACCAAGCCAGCAGGAAGCAAGGGGTGGTTATGCTTCCCACTGAAGTGTGTTGCTCTTGAGCAGTTTATATACTAAGATGCTATGTGATGTCATGGAGTGTGAGCTGTGGAGTCTCAAAGGCCAGAGGCCATACGTCCAGATGGGCCACTTGCTGGATATGTGGTTTGGGACAAAATATTTGATTTCCGAATACCGAAACCTTGGACTTGGTACTTAAGGTTCCTTATCTCTGAAATAGGAATGACATTACTTATCTCTCAGAGCAGGCTGATGTCCTGTTCCTCTTTTCCACCTCTCTGTGTCCTCCCACTGCTCCATCCTGCCCAATAAATATGATGTAAGCACATGGGAAGAAAGAAATCCACTGTGGCATTTCAGGTTATAGTTACTTTTACCTTTTAGAAAATTCTGCCAACACTCACCAGTGGGTCCGTTGAATAGATAGTTCATGAATGTGGGATGTTAGTGCCAGGGTGCCAGGCATGGTGTCATCTCTGGAGGAACCTGCAATTAGATTCGATCACAGATATGCACAGTAAAAGATTAATAATAATACTTACAAATGTCAAGTAAAAGATTCTGTTTCCCTCCAGCAGCTGCCTCCTAAGAGTTTGCAATCTGGCTAAGGAAAGTAATCCGTGTTGTCAGGGAGAGCGGAGCACCTATCTGTAAGTGTTTGTTCGATGGGTATACACAACGGAGGACAGATGCTGAGCGTTACAGGAAGACGGAGCTTCCTGTAGGCTGGGGAGTGACCAGGAGACTCTTCCTGGAAGAGATGGCACTTGC